CTCTCTCACACATACACATACACACACACACACACATATATATATATATATATATATATATATATATATATATATATATATATATATATATATATATATGTCTGTGTGTGTGTGATCATTTTCCATTCTGCATTAGCAAAATCTAGTATGTGAGTGAGTGCAGATGAAAGCAACTTAGGAAAAGGTATATAACTGAGAGTGACATATAAAAAAATAAACTTGGCAAAAAGGCATCTACCAGAGTTATATATATATATATATATATATATATATATGTTCTGCATGCTAAACTTAATGGCAAAAAAAAATTTAAAAAATAATAATAATAAATACATAAATAAATTTAAAGCCATCTTGCATAAAAGAAAAGAAAAAGGAAATGCTTCTTTAATTAATTCATTATTCCAACTGAAAATTACAAAATCTAGCTATTGATTAGTAGGTAGAAAATATATTAATTTCATTTGTATTATTGTACAACGCCTCGTTCGACAGGCACGACACGTGAACGCTACTACACGTACGTGTAAAGATGATATCGATACTTTTTACCAACTAACAATAAATTGTTATAACGGATATCCGGAATTTTTTTTAATTTTTCTTTCAAAAAATAAAATTATGGACCACATTAACTAATTATGTAAAAGATTATGATGATTTTTGTTTAATGGTTACACATATGGGATCAACATCAAGCTGGATAATTCCAATACAAACCATAATGATGTTTAATGATTATTAGGATCATGCATAACATGTTTCTGTAATTATCTTCTTTCAATTTATTTCGTCACACATAATTTCGATATGTATATATATCGCAAATTGTACGAAGCTTATTATAAGATCTTGACCGCACATCTTGTACGACAACGTTACGTTAGTTACGCTCATATGAATTTATTGTACGAACGAGAAACTAATAAAGAATCTTTTTAGTAAAAGTATATTCCATTATCGTGTTTTATTTTACTAATGCACATCTATGTGTACAAATTTATAATAATAACACAATTAAAAGAAGAAGAAGAAAAAAAAAGGAAATTAATAGGGGGGGAAATAGAAAAAAGAAAAAGTGGGGGGACCAAAAGAAGATTATGTAGATATCTAATTGTTGCACGCACATGAAACAATTAATGGGGTCAGGCTTATTGCTAGATTTGATGAGCCACAATAGGTACTGAAACTTAGGTTCAATTTTGGGTTTTTCTCCATTTTATTGATTAATTTATTAATTGAAAAGGAATAAAGAAAGAAAAGGTCTGTGGGGGTATTTTTGTCTTTTTTGTTTGTCATTATGATTTATTATCCTTTTCAATCCATTTATATTTAGTAGCTTCTAAAATGAAACTAGGACCTGTGAAAATCAAGATCATGTAAATCGGACGGCTCGAATTGAAATCAACACTTTCGAGTAATCAAAACCGGAGATTCTGTATTCGGAATTAAAAAAACTCGTTCCAAAATCGATTTTTTTCGTACCAAAAAAGGCGAAATTCGGAAGTTCCAAATTTTTAATCAATTACAACATAAAATTTTCGAAAATACATTTGGAATTCTCGAAACTATTTTAAAAAATAACAATATGATTGGAAATTGAAATCAAATGTGTGTTCTAGTTCAATTCATAAAAAGATCGAAAATCGTAACTTTCAGAATCGGAACGAAAAATGTGGTTCCAGAATCAGAAATATTCAGATCGGAATCAACAGAATTTAGAACTTCGTTCCAATTTTCACCCCTATGTGTGTAAAATAATAAAAAATATCTCCTCATTTCTCATTTCTTTCGCAAATTAAATATTTTATAGACTAAAAAAAAAATCGACTTTTTGCTTCAAAACTTTGCTTTAAAAGATAATGATTATGCTGTTAATGATATCTCAAGCTGCAATGATAATGACTTTGCTTTGTAGCGGTCCGTATGCAGAATGCGACGGATCGACTCATTACACATCTCCGGCAATAAAAGAATTATCCGACACGTACAAAATATCGAATAAATAACCGTGCACGTTACACCAGGATCTTATAAAATCTATATAAACGGAGAAAAAAAAAATACACGAACAAGATCTACCAAAGTTCAAGGCTAGGAAACTATAGTTGTAAGATATACGTTGCAGAATTTTTTTTGTTTGCATCAAGTAGTCACTAGAATTGACGATAAATGTCGGGAAAATAAAATATAAACTGCCGGCGATTGATTGTAAATGGTTTTCAACAAAACCAAACTAGTCAGTCAATTCACTACCACATACAGAAGAAGCTCGATTAAATTATAGAAACGTGACGTGAAATCTGCAACAAATTCGCAAGCAAAAAATTACCACAATTAACATCCGCCTTCAATAAAACATCTTTCCGAAAAGAACCAATGTATCTGATACACAGAAAACAGAAGCAACTCACAATTTTCTGAGGTGGTACGTACGTTCACTCGTTAATTCGTAATTCACGTGAAAAATATGGAGCAAAGAAACTACTTACCAATGAAAAAATATGGAGTCGCCAAGTCAGCATCACTATCCAGAAACCACTTTCACGACAACGCAGAGCAAATTGAGAAGTATGAGAGGAACTCTCAAGTACTGTGTGGCGTATATAAGGCCTAGAATTTGACCTTTGAACGTGTTTCTTTTAACCCCGGAATATTCTTGAAAGCTCCATCTTCTAGGAGCAAGAAATCGATCTTCGTTTAGTATGGCCAATGCATTCGCAAGAAGCAGGCATCCTTCTAGAAGTGTCCACAGACCCATTTTCTGCGTTTTTTAACAATTCAATTAATCAAATTTCGTATCTAAGTGCATCAACACAAAATTGAAAAAAATGCAGTTAACGAGAATTTGGACAGAAACATATAGAAATAGATAGACATACTATTTACTAAACTACCACCGAGATTACAGCCGGATGTATAACGCTTAAACTATCAATGTATGAAATACACACAATATGAAGAGGTAATCGTAGTAGTAAATCAGCTACCGTAAATTTGTATAAACGCCTAAACGGTTTATTCAGATCAAATCATGATTCGGGCTGTTTATTTTAAATTCCGAATTCTACGAAACCGAGCTGAATCCTGCAAAAGCGTGATGTATACAGGAAAATTGAGTTCCTTATTCTTCTTCGGGTACGAAAATACGAAATTACTATGAGAAAATACGTCGAGTAGCCGAAATGCGTAGATCAATATCTGTTTTCTTCATTTTAATCTACATATCTAAAATCCATTTTACCCAAATCATACTATACCTAAATAGCAAATCTCAGAAATGAAATAGATAAAATGCAGATTAAAAAAAAGCCATAATCTGAATGTTCATCAGCTAAAATCAAAATGCTACTCACAATATATATACATATATATACAATATATATTGAATATGAATCCAGAGTTGATGCATTTGCAGTACAGAATTCTTACCGAAAATCGCAGTACGTAATTGATGCGTTTGAAGTAAAAGAAGAATTAGGGCTGCCGGAAGAAAATTTAGGGGTGGAAATGGTGGATCGCTGTAGAATCTCCGATTGAGGGTTTGCGAGGAATAAGATGACGAAAGCGTATAAAATTAAAGACCAAAAATTAATTTTCAACTGATTTTTACGCTCACAAAAATCATTAATTATTAATTAAAAAATCACTAGTACTTCACCCGTGCGTTGCACGGATATCAGTTTCAAAATGAGAAAAATAATAACATTTAAACGATTATCTCTTTATAATAACACCAATTTAAGTAAAACAAAATGGAAGGAAATAAAAAAAATATCTCTTAATTCAGAGTTGTAACATTTGAAATTCAATTAAATATTACAAAGAAAAATACGCGAATGGCGCAAAGCACGATATGAAGATTAAGTGAAATAATTTAAAAATATGGTATAAATCTATTTCATAGAATGCAATCTACTACACCATGTGAATCCTCTACAAAATAACTAACTTAACAACAAACACAGTAGCATGGAGGTAACACAATAGATATTCAAATAACTTGCAAGTTTATCACTAACAACATTCAATTAGTGATGCACATTAATCAAACAACAACACAACTTATAAATATTGCAAAAGAGATAAGATGTATACGCCAATACAAATAATAATACCAATACTGATATCAATATTGATACTAATAATGATACTAATAATGATACTAATACTGATACTAATAGTAATACTAATACTAATACTAATACTAATACTAATACTAATACTAATACTCATACTCATACTAATATTAATACTAATACTAATATTAATAATAATACTAATAATAATACTAATTTTATATATAAAAGAAAGAAACGCTGGGCAACCCTAAAAAACCCTAATGGTATTTTCTGTAATTAAATATTTTTAATATTTTTTTCTCTACTAATTTCTAACTAATTTTTAACAATTATCAAAATTGAAACTAAATCCCGAAGAATCCTATCTAACGGTACTTTTGTAACTATTTATTTTTAATATTTACTAATTTCTCTAACTATAATTTTCAACAATTATTAATCTCCTATTTTTCACCAATATATCTCAAATCTTAAGAAATAAACATAGAAATTCGATCTACATATTTGGATTATAAATCTTAATATGTCAGATTTAAAAAAAAAACTAATGAAACTAATGTTAAATAAAATATGAATAATACTATATTATTAAATTTTACTATATTAGTATACTATATTTTCTTATTATGCATTAAATTGATTATTTTTTTAACTTTCGAAATAATATCCCGTGCATCGCACGGGGAAAAAATGCTAGTATTGATAGTAATAATAATAGTAATATTGATATTAATATTGGTACTAATACTAATATTGATACTCGTACTACGGGTACTTATACTGATACTAATTCTAATACTAATACTAATACTAATACTAAAACTAATATTAATACTAATACTGATACTGATATTGATACTGATAGTGATACTAAACTAATACTACTACTAATACTTACTGATATTGATACAAATACTGATACTGATACTGATACTGATACTGATACTGATATTGATACTAATACTAATAGTGATACTGATACTGACACTGACACTGACACTGACACTGATACTGATATTGATACTGATATTGATACTGATGTTAATAATGATACTGATGTTGAGAGTCATATTGATACTCATAGTAATATTAATATTAATATTAATATTGATACTCATACTAATACTGATATTAATATTGTTACTCATACTACAATGTTGATAAAAATACTAATACTAATACTAATATTATACTAATAATACTAATATTAATATTACTATTGATACATATATTGTTACTATACTGATATTGATATTAATATTGATACTCATACTGTTACTGATACTGAAACTGATACCGATACTGATACTGATACTGATATTGATATTGATACCGATACTGATATTTATACTGATACATGTACTGATATCGATACTAATATTGATAAGGATACTTATACAGATATTAATACTAATATTAATACTAATACTAATACTATTACAAATAGTAACATTAATACTATTATTGATACTAATACTATGCTAAAACTAATTTTAATGCTACTGATCTAATGCTAATGATACATAATACATATACAGATACTGATACTGATACTGATACTGATACCGATACCGATATTGATACTAATATTGATAATGATACCGATACCGATACCGATACTGATACTGATACTGATACTGATACCGATACCGATATTGATACTAATATTGATAATGATACCGATACCGATACCGATACTGATACTGATACTGATACTGATACTGATACTGATACTGATATTGATACTGATACTGATAATGATACTGATACTTATATTGATACTGCACTGATACCGATATTGATACCGAAACTAATAATGATACTGATACTGCACCTGATACATATTGTGGTATTGATACTGATACTGATATTTATACTGATACCGATAATAATATTTATACGGATACTTATACTTGTGTTAATACTAATATTTGTATTAATACTAATACTAATACTAATACTAATACTAATATTAATACTAATACTAATACTAATACTAATACTAATACTAATACTAATATTAATACCAACACTAATACTACTACTAATACTAATATTAATACTAATACTATTATTAATACTATTACTAATACTAATATGTTAATATTGTTAATGTTAATGCTAATACTAATTTAAGCACCATAATGTTAATGGTAACTTTTGCTTTTTAAAAAGTACCATAAAGAAATGTCGTGTGTGCATGGTATAATAAGCATTATTGGACCACGTAATAAAAAAATTCCTTGACAAATCATACCATAAGGGGGTCGATGTAAGACGGAAACAAACATTAGGGGAATTATTAATATAAACTATTTATGGCAAGAGCACTTCGAGTGGGATTATTAAAGGATCTATCAAAATATTTAACCACCATTTTTATATTCCAAAATAGTAATTTTTAATTCTAATAGAGTTATGAAATGAGGTATTTTGATACTTCATCTTTCAAAATGTAAAAATACATTATGCAATCATGCAGAATAAAATATCAAACATGAGTTATGAATTTAATCACATCAGTGTCCATTTAGAAAATAACATGTGGCAATAAGATATATTTAATTAACAAATATTTAATAACTATGGTTGGAGCAAATACATTTAGATAAATATCAAAATAAAATATTAAATAGCACATAAATATTTGCAAACTCATTTTGATACTTTTGGGTTGGAGTTGCTGTAGATATTTACTTAATTATATTTATTAGAGTTATAATAAAATACTTATTAGTGGAATACATTATATAGTATATACGACCATTACACATTTTAAACAAAACAATTGATATTCTTAATGTTAGCCATTAAATAAAGTGGATAAACAAATTTAATAGCAAAGATTTAGAATTTATTATATTTTGAAATATATAAAATCAATTCGTTTATTTATCAATTGATTAAACTTAACTTAAGTTATTCAATTTAATAGTATAATCATGATAAGATTTGTATTTTAATTAGTATATAATTTAAAAAGTTAAATCAATCGTAAAATTTATTGTTACTGGACTCAGTGAAGAAAAAATAATTATTTAAATAATAACATTAAATTCATGTAGTATAATTTTCAATATGGTAAATAATTGGGAGTACATTACTCTACACATGGCATAACAAATAGTGTCAATTTTCGCAAGATAGTAAATTTAAACATGTATCTTTCTTTTTTACAGATAATATTAATATATAATATTAAATTAGTAAAAAATTACATATTCTCTAGTCATGTTCATTTAAAATGTATAATATCAAATAATTTATTCTCCAATATTTTTTGTTAATAAATTCAAGTTTATGAATTAAAATTAAAAAAATTCGTAACAACACCAATTATGCAATTATAATAAGGGAAGATTTTAAATCGAATTTAAATAAATTCAAATTAAATTAATTATAAAATTAAATTAAAAAATAAATTTATTTAGGGTTTCTAAGAAAGTTGATATATTTAGAGCATTTTATAAATGGTAGGATATAAATATATTAATAAAATAATTAGTGACTATTTGTTTGCGTGACGTTGTCGAGGCTAATGTTGTTCAAGGTTATAAACGAAGAAAGTTTTCCGATTGAAGATGAGAATTCAAGTGGTACATAGTTTATAACTTTCGAGCATTGCTTCCCTCGGAAAAAAAGAAGAAAATAATCAAGAATTGCTCGGAAAAGTTTCGACATCGATCTTCCTCGTCTTTATGAGATCATTTGGCGAGCGTACGGTATGTTTATATATAAATTTATTCGTGTTTATAGTTGAGATTATATATCGCACAATTAATTACTACGTATTATAAGTCCAAAATAGTAACACAGCTTATTCCGACATCGAAAAAAATGTCGGGGGCCGGGGTTCCGGGCATCTATTGACTTTACATTGACTTTTACAGTGGGCCCCATTGTTGAGATCTGTTGTTTATTCTGTCGACCGAAAAGTTGGCTAACGGGTCTCGTTGAAAGGTTGGGTTCAAATTGTTCGTCACTAATTAGTTCGTTAAAGGGAGCATAAATATAATCCAAATTCTGAGTTTGAACGAGTTTGTATTCAAACATATTGAACTTTTATCGAGCTTTCAAAGTTGTACGTTTGACCGTGATTTGTTACGCAACCGAGTTGAGCTAGAACTAGCTTTTTGTCGAATCGAACATGCGATTTATCTTTTTTTTTTTTTACATATTTTATCATTTTTTTTACCAGTCGAACTCTAACTCGAGACGAACTTCATAGTGTTTCCAAATTATTTCTGCAGGTTCTTCCCGGTGGACCTCCAGCAGTCATCCAACAAAATCGAGACATTTTCCGGTGGTTTTTTTCTTTTCTTTTATTACGGTAATCAATTTATCCCAATTTAAAATATTCTTGGACCGTAAAAATAGGGTATTATTGATTAAAAAATAAGAGAAAATGAAGGAGTTTAAATTATGAAGGGACGTACGCTCCGTTATAAGAAAGAAATCGGATTCCATTAGTTGAAAGACACCTGTTA